TTGGAATGTATGTATTTATGTAAATTATGGTATTTATATAAATTAAGAGCTTAGTTCATCAGTCATCGACGCTTGGCGCAAGCTGGACTCTTGGTCTGCAGTGTTCGACGCTTAGTGCAAGCTGAGACTCTTGGTCTACGAAATAAGCTCTCCAACGGTGATGAACTCTTGGTTCGACGCTTGGTGCAAGCTGGACTCTTGGTCTGCAGTGTTCGACGCCTAGTGCAAGCCGTCCATTAGTAATGTCGTTTTGAAATATTTTTTTGCGTGTTAATTCTTATTATTTTTTTTTCGAGAATTGGGTTTCATCAAAGAATTTAAAAAAGGATTCGGATATACGTATGAATATTGAGCATCTGCAGGTGAGCTTCTTTCTAATCTGAAAAAATTTGAAAAATTTATGATAAAAACAGTGTCTCATTTTATCAATTAGATAGAACAACTTGCAACCGGAGATTCCCAGATTACCAACAACCACTGCATAAGAAATTACCAAGATGCGAATAATGGAGGGGATTCTTCCTCGATTAAGAGGAAAGAGAAAATCTGAAATAAATTATAGTGAGTTGCCAGAAGAAGACTTAGACTCAGATCGCGAAGAAATGATTAAGCATCAGCCACAAAAAATCAATTCTAAAGATTTAAATTAAAAATCGCTTTTCTTAAAAAAATTTTCTATCTTTTGCAGGGTAGAAACGAAGGAGAAAGCATGACCAACGATAGGTCAAGAACCCAACTCATCAAATTGTATATCCTGCAAATCCGAACTTGTTTAATCAGCTAAATAAAGAAAAACAGCGAGCTAAAACCACTTGGTAAATAAAACATGTCTATCTTTGTATTCTTGTACTATTAATTAATTGTCACCATTTTTATTGTAGTAAACCAATTTGTTCAAACATAATCGATACAACAAACAACCTTTTAATGGAAAGATTGAAAATCAAACGTGATTATCCATGGGCTTCTGTAATAAACGAGGCCACAAAATATATCGATGAATTAATTGATAATGTATGTTTTAAGGATTTGTAACTAGTAATTTCCTTTTTCTTTATAATTATTACTAATTTCGCGCACTTTTTCCTTATCTTTGTTTTCAGTCTGATACTCGCGATGAAAGCTTCAACTTTCATTTTTTCCATCTGGTGAAACATACTCATTTAGAAAACACTATGAAATGCATTGGATTCATCGTTTTGCTGACAAATTGTGAGTTAAATCTCCTATTCGGTTCTCGTTTCTATCAGCAGAATTTTCATCGACTTATTCTTTATTATTTAGATCATTGTTTTTGAAGCACCAAGAAACCCACTCTTAGATAAAAACTCTGAAGGTTGGCTAAATTGTCATATCCTGACTCCGCTAATTGACGACTGTTTTTTAATGTGTGAGGAGATTCGAATTCATCGGTTAGTATGAAGTTTCCTAGTAAAATTTAATGTGATAATTAATTTCTTTGTGTCTCAATTTTGGTTCTTCTACTACTTCAGAGGTGAAGAGATATCGCTGGCATCTACTAAACGTAAAAACTTATTAAGAGATGAGTCCGAAAAAAAAATCTGGGCACAAAATTGATATTCTATTTCGTATTGATGATATGGAATATTTCGGTTCAGAAACATACGTTGACGAAGATCCACAAAACTCCAAACCGATTTCCTACAAGCATAAAATTTTGCGAGAAATGAAGGATCAACTAGACCGTCTCTTGAAGAAGTTAAAATTTACAAGGGAAACAATTAAAGAGATAAAGAACATTGTTGTTCATGGAATAAATCAAGGAGGTAGTTATAAAAAGCAATAGAAAAATTCTTGTATTAATTATCTTTCACTCTTGGTTGAGATCCATTATTTACATTCAAGGTCTTAAAGGAAAGATCTATGCAATGTACTACGATAATAACCTTCAGTATTATTTCGTTTTTGAGACATGTCGGTATCGGATCGGTACTACGTGGGGAAGTATTCCGGAAAGTCTCATGTCTTTAAAAGATATTCTGTGCTTAAAGGTATGTCAATTTTTTACAAATTTCAGTTTCTAATTGTTTTCGATAATTACAGGAAGATATAAACAATGTTCTTGATACTGTTAAGAAAATAAAATTAACTGCTTTACGTACAAAGTCAGAGGATTTATTTACTATAGATAATCTCCCAGAAACAACACCATCCCCCAAAAAAACTCCCAAGAATAAATAATAGTATATAAGGTTGTACTGCGAGTTTATTTTTTCTTTAGGCTTGAAATATGTGAGACGTGGATTGGAGGTCTAGGTTTCGATATCCGATACTGAATAGTGTAGTGAAGAGTGTAGATTATTTCGTAGCTATATATTAAATATTAATTGTGAGCTGTATCCATTTTTCGATGTAAATATCGGGTTTTTTAGAGGTGACTTGAGGAGTCATGTTGATTATTGGTTAAATAAAGGGATTTTCGCACGTAAATATATCAGCTGGAAGCTCTTTTACTTTGTAAGGCGATCGTGATTATTTTTTTTCTTGACATTTTTCCGAGACCGGCTGGTCCTGCAAATTTTAATCTCGCGAATTTAACTGTATAATAAAAAGATTTTGAATGAATGTGCTTTTTATATAAAGAGGAGCGTTAAAGCAAGGCAAGCCATTTAGCCGGTTTTGCCACAATACGCCACATTTGATCGGCGACACATGATTTGAAAAAAAATTGCCATAATAAGGGTATCGTTAAAGCAGAATAGTGCCCAGCCATGATTAGTACCACATAGTCTGGTGATCTGTGACATGATAGGACACGTGTTCATATGTCTGTTAAATTACAAGACATTCATATATCTATACATCTGAATGCCTATATGCTTGTACATACATAACTATGATTAAATTACAAGATATTTATATGTCTGTAGCTAAATTACAAGACAAAGAATAAGTTTATTGTGATATAATAATAATATGAGACTTTTTTTCTCTTATTAACTTTAAAATAAGATGGAT